CTCAGTTCATATTAACCTAAATGTCATACCTATCTTTGACAAAACATTACAAGCTATGCTAAAAGGTAAAAAAACACACCACCTAAAGAGACAAAACAAGTATCAGAACAGACTCAAATATGACACAGATTTTGGAATCTATAATAATTGATTTCATATGTTAAGGACTCTAATGGGAAAGGCACACACATTCAAGAAAAGAAGAATGATGTAAGCAGGGAGAAGGAAACTCTAAGAAAAGATCAACGGGGAATGTTAGCAATCAGAAACACGGTAACAGAAATAAAGAATGCCCTTGATGGGTCAGTAGACCCAGCCAAGAAAGAATCAATGATCACTAAAATATGTCAATAGAAATTCCTCAAGCTGAAATATGAAGAGAAAACAATAATGAAAAACAAAAAGAACAGACTATCCAAGTACTGTGTGATAGTATCAGGTGTAACCTATATAAACTGTACCACTAGAAAAGAAGGAGAGGCGGAAACAAGAAAGATACGTGAAATAATAATGGTGGACAACAATCAGAAATTAATGGCAGTCAGCAAACCACAGATTCAGGAAACTCAGAATATCAAGCCTGACAAACACCCCAAATTTCACATATAGGAATATAATATTCAAACTACACAAAATCAAAGATGAAGAGAAAATCTTGAAAGAAGTAAAAGAAAATAATGTACCTTACCAATATGGAAAGAAGAATAAGAATGATAGTACTTTGTACATCAGTAACCATGCCAGAGAGAAGCAAATCCAGTGAAATATTTAAAATGTTCAAAGAAAAAAACACTAACCTAGAATTTTATCACCAGTGAAATATTCTTTAGGAATAAAGAGAAATACTTTCTGAGACAGACAAAAATTATGAGAATATTTTAGCAGCTAACTGACCTAGTTTTCCCCCTTTCTTACTATAGTCTTCAAGAATAACTGTAGAATATGGTAGCAGTGCAACATCTGGAGATAAGGTGGACCTGGTGGAATCCCTGGATGCTGTTTCAGTTCTCTCCTAGATCAAGGATGCCCAGCAGTGCTTTAACACAGTGAGTTCAGTTATCCTGGGACATAAAATGCAGGGCTGGCTGCTTTGGGGAACCCAACAGCTGGGACACAAGTGGGGCATGTACACTTGAGAGTCCTTCCATCCAGAAAGGTTTCCTGAGAATTAGGGGGCCAGGCACAGTGACTCTGGGCTTCTATCATCCCCCATTGCCTATGTGTAAAAAATAAACCTGGTGTGTATAATTTCTTGTGTGTGGGTATTGTGTGTTGTATCATTGAATTCAAACAAATTTAAAACCAGTACCTATGAGGCTGCTTCACACCAAGGTGAGCCTCTGTGGGAGAAAAGATATAAGAGGAGCCTGGGAGTGTCCCTGGGGAAGGTCCAAATCTCTTCAGGTTCTCAGCATGACTTAGAGATTATGGTTACACAAATCTTGGCAGAAACAAGTGAGCAAAAGTATATATTTGCAGAGTGGACCAGGACATTGCTACTGGACTATGAGCCATCCAAGGAAAAATTGGGGATGAAGACTTCAGTTTGAGTGCCACTGAGTAGGGCAACCATAAAAGAAGGCACCATGGGGACCAGCAGTTAGGGTAACGGCTATGTTGCTGGACTCCCATGTAGTCGACCGTGGTTTGAGTCCTGGACCCAGTGGCTTAAAACTCATGCCGGGCGCGTGTGCGTACATGCCCAAGATCCCGAGAGGGGAATGGAGAAGGGATTGTGGCATGGCCATCCCCCCTGGGGGGTGATTTCCTGCTTTCTGTCTCTCTGTCTCTCTCTGTCTGTCTAGCGAGTGCACGCGCCCTATAGCAAAAACCTCTCAAAAAAAAAAAAAAAAAAAAAAGAAGGCACCATGTTTAAGCAGAGTCCTTTTACATCATGAATATTCATTAGTTGACATAAGTATGCTTGGGTGAGCATGAATACCCAAGCCATCTGAAGAACTGATTAAAGATTTTTTTCTATATTTATAACAGAGTGTGTGTGTGTGTGTGTGCGCGCGTGTGCACACATATGCGTGTGTGTGTGTGAGAGAGAGAGAACACCATAATCCTCTTTCTTCTCCTCTTCAGATCATTGGATCAGGGACACTTGCATGTATGCCTGGCTGTGTGTTTCAGGCACTGGGCTTGGGATTTGAATCATGGTTGCTATGTAGGGTCTAGGTTTTCTTGAGCAATTAATTACTGCTGAACAAAGGAGCTTGCCCCTTATGAGAAGTTTGAAAGCTTCTTGGGAGTCTACTCCTATACAAAGTTACCTGGTGTACATGACTACTGTTATTGCTGTGAATAATAATCTTTTTGTCTCTGACACAGATATCTCATGTTGTCTGCCAGTATGCCTGACATTGTCAACAGGGTAATTTGTTACAAGTAGTGCAAAACCCTTCACCATTCTTGACAGTTTCGGAGGCAATGTTACAGGGGATCCCACCCCTGTGGATCAAAGACCCCGTAAGCCTTCAAGATAGTGGTACTAGCAAAAACCCTATAGGCAGGAGAGGCATGTGAGAAATCAAACCTATGTTTTGTTGACTTATCACATGTTTGGGTCTATTGGGGTGTGATGCTGCGATATGGCTGTGCTGGAACATAGATATTCCCCCAAATGTGTCCATGCTACTTCCAATTTCCAAAATATAGATCAATGTCTTCTGTGGTTTTAACTTTGATACATAAACCAGTTAAATACTGCTCCAAAAAAAGAAATTATGGCCAATTTTACTTAGAAATATAAATGAAAAAATTAACAAATATCAGAAATAATGTTCAACAATATATTTAAAATAATGTATCATTACTGAGAAAGTTTATGTTGTTAATAATAATAATGTGGGTTAATATAAGGGAATCTAACAATATAACTTACAATATTAATAAATGTAAGGAGTATCTACAGAAATAACCAACTCTGTAGAAATAATAATTAATGTGATTTATTTCTAAACACAAATATGAGAGACCAGGCCCTGAAAAACCAAATGTACATTTCTCCAAGGTGATCAGGTATAGGGGTTTCTTTTATTTGGTTTTGAGAGTAAGAGGCAATTTGGAATTTAGTGAATAGAGTTTTTCCTTTGGTCTGGCCCAAAAAGGCAGGACATTTGGAAAAGGGTGCTTATAGGTTATAGGCAGATTTTCTGTGTTTCAGAAAAGGATCAGTAAAGAGTATTCTTTAACAGAGATAAGGGAGTTTGTATATGTCACAAGATATTGTCCCAAGGAGAGGATGTAGGAAGAATCCTATTATTAAATAGGACAAAATGGTCTGTTAAGGTTTATGGGAGTGACTAATCCTAGGTGCTCTGGAAGGGATATTGGAAATAAGAAAAAGCAGTCAGACTCTGGTGCTCAGGAGCAAAAATGATTTGATCATCTTAAATGTTCATAAGTTATCTAATAAAATGTGAACTTTATTTATTTAAAAATACTCAACTAAACAGGGACTGATGGTGGGGGCCAGCAGATGGCATAGAGGTTAAGACTCTGGGCTCCCACATGGCTAACAGTGGTTCAAGTCCCTGACCTGGAGGTTTAAAACTCATGCCGGGCATATGTGCAGGCATCCCAAGAATCCTGAGAGGAAAATGGGGAGAGGAGATTATAGTGTGGCCATCCCACAAGGGGATGATTTTTCATTTTCTCTCTCCCTGTCTCTCCAGTGAGGGCACGCACCCTATTACAAAAATCTCTCTAAAACAATACACTGATGGTGTATTTGTTATCTTTTCCTGCATAATGCTGCACCACAAACTATTTCCAAACCCAGTGGCTCACTCACATGTTTATCACCCATGCTTGTGGTTTGGTTGGGTTTCAGCAGACCTGGGCTGGGTTCAGTTCAGCAGTTCTACATCTCATGGCTATTCTCTGGTGTGTTAGACAGTATTCTCCAGAGAAACAGAACAAATAGCAGTTACGTATTATCTACTTATTCATCTACCTGAGAGAGGTAGAAACAAGGAAAGAGAGATAGAGATGAGAGAAAGAGAGAGAGATGGAAGAGAGCTTTATTTTAAGGAATTATCTCACACCGTTGTGGAGACTAGCAAGTCTAAGTCCATAGTTTTAGTAATAAATACATGAAAAGGAAATAATGAATTACGTATAAATGCTAGCCCTTATGAGATGAAATGTTTACGAGTTAAGGGTTGTTAAAAAAAATAAGTTAAAGATTTTTGTAACATTTTAAATTCAAAATCTTACTTTATGCTTATTCATTTTTTATTATTGTTTTGGATAAATGCTATGTAGACAATTGGAGAGGGACTCCACTTGTGGTACGAATTACTTTGGACCAGGCTGATAATCTTTCTGGAAGGAGCACCCTTGCTTCTGTTTAGTCAGTCTATGGACCTCATGTATTTCTGGTGGGACTGTGTTAACTGGTGTTTAGTGCTTACTAGCTGGGATCTGCAGCTGGACTGCTTGTCCAAGTTCAGCTGGGCCTTTCCTAGCTCAGCACCTAGGGCAAGAAGCTTAACCTCTCTGCACCTCAGGTTTCCCATGTGTAAAAATGGAGGCTGGAATAGGCTCCCCTGCCAGGGATTGCTGTGAGGATTTAATGAGTTAACACAGGTACTTAAAATAGTACCTGATAGTCAAGTGTTGTTTAAACATTAGCTATTGGTGTTCTGTTGTTGTGTTGTTGTTTTCTCTTTTTTTGAGAGGTTTTTGCCTTAGGGTGTGTGCACTCACCAGAGAGAAAGAGACAGACACAGTGAAGGGGAAAGTGAGAAATCACCCCTGGGGAACAAAGGCCATGCCACAATCCCTTCTCCTCCTGGGATCTTGATGCACATCCACTGGCGTGATTTTCAAGTCAGCAGGTCTGGGACTCGAACTGCACTTGGCCATGGATGAGTACAGCAACTTAACCACTACACCATCTCCTGGTCTCACATTAGCTATTGTTTTACAATCATTATTCTAGAAAAGCCTTACATGGTTGTTCTAGCAATTTCTCTATAACCGTGACTTACCTTTTCTTCCCAAACACCAGAGCTGGATGATGTGTCCAACATTCTTAATGCTCACCAAACATCTGGGTGTCTCCTCACATCCCAGACCCCTTTAATCATTCAGGTGCCACCTCACCTCCTGGCCTCCTTCAGCGCCCAGGTGCTCCCTTCATGTCCTGGTGCCCTTAGCACCTAGATGCTCTCTCAGGTCCCAGCCTCTCAGGTACTTAGCTTGGGGCCGGGTCTCTGGCTTCTGATGAAGGGATGTGGTTTTAGAAATAAAGCAATGAGAAGGACTGGGGATTGCATTCTTTGTAGATCTGTCATGTTTAAGAGAGGCCTTCTCTCAATATGATAGACCATGTTATGAGGGGGTCGTCAAAAAGTTCATGAAAAATGTGTATTATGAAAAAACGACTCAAGGATTTCAAAAAAATTTACACCGTAATACACTTGTACATTAATACATTTTCCTATGTACTTTTGAAGACTCCTTGCGTTTGGCTTGCAAAAAGTGAAGAATATCATGTGGTAGACAAAAACAAAAACAGTCATTAAAGAAACTCAAGTTGAAATAGAATCTGAGAACAATAAACTCAAATGGAAGGTTGGTCCCAAAGGAAGATATCAGCCATAGTTTCTGGAGCCTAAATTTTTCAACTGTTACAAAGGGAGTTTAGATTGGGGGATTTCTGGATTCAGCCAGAGATCCTACAAGGGGCTGAAGTGGTCTCAGCTCAGTAGCAACAACACCCCTCTCAGTTACTCACACAAACCCATGCAGACTCTTTAATAAAGGGTTTTATTAAAACCCTGCTTTTATTTCAGCCCTTAGGATTTTCATACTTGAGTTCACAATTAAGATTGTGAAAGTTCCTCCAGGAAAGAAACCACCTGGGAGGCTGAAGAAGAATGCCAGGACAATATTGCCAAAAAATGCATGATCTCTTCTCAAAGAGATTCTACTTCTAAGTCAGGATCCAGTCAAAAATAAGATTTTATAAGGAAATAAGTAAGATCAGATGTGAAGAAGAAGGATGAGGAAAAGTTGGAGGACAAGCAGGAAGAGAGAAAAATCAGATTTATATTCTGTACCAGTCAGGTCAGCCAGATGTTGCTGCAATAATAAACACTTCCGAAATCTCAGTGGCTGAATGCTAAGCTGAGCTCTTGTTTGCTTAGTCTGAAATCTCTGAGCCACCCTCCAGTCTGCTTGCAGAAAAGAGACAACTAGTAGAATTCATAATGGATGGATTATTTCAGTCACAGGTGAAGTGATAGTCTACTTATTTAAGCAATGGAAGGAATGGTAAAAATCAACTGATGATTTCTAAGACTTAATCATGTTGAGGCACATACAGAATAATTTAAAGTAGAAAGTTAGAAGACAGATATATACATGACATGGCAATTGTCATAAATATTCCATGGATATCAACCAAAATAGAGCAAGAGAAAATTAGCACGACTATCAATATATCAGACTAAGTGGGACTTTCGAGGGAATCTTACATTTTAAAATCATGGTCCACTTACCTTATAGTGCAGTGGTTTAAGCAATTTGCCTGGGATGCCAGATTCCACATGGCCAATCATGGTTCAAACTCTAGCCACAGGGGCTTCAAAACCACACTGAGAACATGTCCATGCATGCCCCACATCCTAAAGGGATGTAGATACAGAGAAAAAGAGATTAATATATGACCTCAATCATGGGGGACTCTCTCTCTCTCTCTCTCTCTCTTTCTCTCTCTCTTTTGCAAGTCTACATACCCTCTGGCAATTAAAAAATAAATGAAGCATAGTTTATAAAAACATTCTCCAATTCTGAGGGTTGTTGATTCACACTAATTACTGTGTCTTTTGTTGTGCAGAAACTTTTTAATCTGATATAATCACAAATCTCTAGTTTGGAGATTATTGCCTGTGCTTTGGGGGTCTTATTTAAGAAAGATTAGAGGATGTAGAAGCATGGAAAATGGTTATGAATTCTGGAGACAGTTTTGGAAGAGAGTAGAGGAGAGGAGAAAGTGTGAGGAAAGGAATCAAGGAGAAAAATAGAGAAGCAAGACATTTATGGGACATAGAAATGGATGATTATCTATTGATGACAATGTATATGATATCTTCAACTTGACTGGTGTGAAATGTATTCATGATGGGTAATTCACTTTACAAGCTGTAGTGATGTACAATGATTGAATGTATAAAATAAACTGAAGTGATAAAAAATTTTTATACTGAAATAGTTAAGTTTCAATGACAAAAAATAAATAAACAAATGAATTTGGGGCAGCAGGTGGTGTAGTGGTTGAGGACTCCCACATGGCTGACTGTGGTTTGAGTCGCAGATCCAGCAGCTTGAAACTCACAGCAGGCATGTGTGTGCATGCCCAAAATCCCTAGAGGAGAATGGAGAAGAAGGGATTGTGGCATGGCAATTCCCCCAGGGGGTGATTTTTCATTTTCTCTCTCTTTGTCTCCTTGGCAAGTACACATACACTATTGCAAAAATCTCTAATAAATAAATATTTATGAATTAAAGATAATAAAATCATGCAGTAACTTAATTTATGTAACTTATATCATCACCGATTCCCAAATGTTCTCAACCTCTTCCTTCAATAATGTCCTTTAGTTAGGATGGTCAGCTCCTCTCTCGTCTGTCTCTAAAATCGCCCTTCCCCGTAATCTAGCTTCCTGTGATCCTACACAGCACATCTCTAGGAGTCATAACAATTAAAGTTCGTGTTAGTGTCTTATACCTTTGAGAAACTGAGTATCAGCTCTTGTCCAGAGAGAAAGCGTTTGAAGAAAGGAGGGATGAAGGGAAGAAAGAAACAATGAATGTCTGCCCCAATCTTGGAGGCAATCTGGGAAGTCCGTGCTGTCCGAAAGCGAGAGGTCTGATAGGCACCATTGGGCTCTCTCCTATCCTATCCAATCTTTTAGCTTCTGCTCAGGAGTAAAAAACAAAACAAAGCAAAAACCCCCAAAACAGTATTTGTGTTCAGAACCTGGTTTATTCCACTTAGTATTACTTCTTCCAGGCTTATCGGTTTTGCCCAAAATTACAGGAATTCATCCTTTTTATGGAATAGTATTCTGTTGTATGTGTGTGTGTGTGTGCACATGTGCCCCATTTTCAATGCCATAGAATCAGAGTGTAGCAGTAGGTACCAGAAGCCAGAGGGGAGAAGCTGTAGGGCATGGGGAGGCCTTGGTTAACAGATACAAAAATGCATGTCAACAACTGGGGTGGGTTACAGAACCATACAGCAAAGTAAAGAGCATTGGTGACGATTCAATGCACATTTCAAAATTACCAGAACGGAGTTTGAATGTGCACAGCACAGAGTAATGAGAAATGGTAGAAACGGTAGATTTGTTTACTTCCCTGTTTGATTATTACTCACTGTACATGCCTGGAAAAACCACACTGTGCTCCACAAAGATGTACAAATAAGATAAATAAATTAGAACTTGCAATAAAGTTATTATTTAAAAAAGAAGAAAGATCAGTGTAAACTCACTTCCCCTGGCACAAACTTTTCTGAGGAGTCAGCCGCTTCTTAAGCCTCTGAGTTCTTGTCTGGTTCTGGGTAGGAATAATCCCAGCACTCGTGTTCCTGGTTTTTTTTGTTTTATTTTGAAGTGCAAACAGCGTGAATTTCTGACTCAGCCCATGTTCCTACCCACTTCCTGCTTCTCCTAGCTTGCACGTAGACTGCCTTTTCAAGGGTGTTCTCCAGCCTGTACTCTGATCGTATTTTGCTGAAAATATAAGCAAACGTTGGCCTTGGAAGCTTTCCTCTGCCTCCTCCTTTCACCTACTCACCTCTTCAAGGAGTTCCCTGTGTGTCAGCCCTGACGGGAGAGACAGAACTCACTAGTACTGAACGGCGGAGGTGGCAGGGAGTGTGGCTGCTGCTTTCGCTCATCGGCAAGCCTGGTGGTAAGTCTGAGTGTGAGTGTGTGTTTATGTGTACCTATGTGAGTACTATCCTGATGTTTGGATGCATGTGTGCTGTGTTCACATAGTTGTGTATGTGTGTGTGTTTGCATTGTGTGTGCAAATTCTATTTCTGTATATGAAAATGTTATGTATAAGTGTGTATATTTGCATATGTGTTCAGTTTGTACGTATGTATGTGTGTGAATTTACTTACATGTGAGAGCACCACATGTTCTTGGGAGTGCTCATGTGTGTTGTTTGTATGTATGTGTGTGGATTTACCCATGTTTGTGCATGGTGTGTGTCCTGTGTAGTATTTGTGTGCTATGTTTCTGTGTACGTATGTCTGTAGATTTACCTGCATGAGTGTGAGTGCCGTGTGCGTTTTGTGTGTCTTACGTATATTTGTGCCTGTGTGTGTGTGTGTCTGGCTGTGTGTTTGTCATGTGAGAGGAAGAGTTGTGACTAGGAGGTCAGGGGAACATGGTGCCCTGTGTGAACTCCCTGCTGACTGTTCACTGCCATGCTCTGTAGTTGTACTTTCTTCCTGAGCAACATCACAAGGGCAACAACTTCCGTTTCATCTTCTGTGTGGGAGACAAGAAATAGAACGTTCCCGATGTGGGAGGCACTGTCCAGGGCGGCGTCTAGGGTGAGCAGCCAGGTGCTTGGACCAATACCCAATGGACCCATACCCGTTCCATAGGTCCTGTGAAGGCACAGTCAGGGTCCCTGATGTCTCTCACCTCAGCCCTGTTGACTCAGTCACAGTTTTCTGTCCAGCCCTCAGTTCTCTCTATAGGAGGAGTGAGATTACACTGGGGAAGAGCTGCCTCAGTTGCCACCAAGGATGTAAGGAAGCCAGAGATGAAGAGGCTAAGAAGGTCCCCAGTTTGCAGGGCACCAGATCACAGACTTAGGGGTCAATGATCTCATCATTCACTAATGCACTCGGTAGGTGAGATCGTGGGTTTTCTCAGGATGTTGTTGGCCAAGTCTGTGAGGTTGTCCACCTGGCCTGGTCACTTGCTCTTCCTGGAAAGCCACCAAACTTTCCTGGCCTATCTCTATCTCCTTCTAGCACTTCAAGGCCAAAGACCAAAGTCATCAAGAGGTATCCACATTGGCCTTCCACTGGCCAGCCCCTGAGATCTGGGGAGGCCTGAAGTGGTCTGCCAGGTGAACAGAGTAGAATAGCGTCAACAATGGAGGGGTGGAGCTCAGGCCGACCCTGACACAGGATCCTGAGACTCAGGCTTGCCGGGTCCTAATGACACCTCCATGAGCTCAGGGAGGTCCCAGGGCTGTCGTCTTCCTCACAGTAGCAGCAACAGCCACCCGGCTCTTAGCCCTCTGCTATCCCACTGCCCAGCTTCTCCAAAGACTCAGTGTACATTGCTCTTTCTGCCCCCAGGCCCTCTGAGCCAGCCCCTCCCATCCACTTTCTGCTGATGCCCTCTGAGAACACTTGTCCACACAGACTTCCTGCTGCCTCTGGGACACAGAGGATCAGAGTTTCATCTGCTTCCGGGTCTCTGCTCTTCCTCCTCCTCATGAAATAGCTCAGGATCCTCTTTCTATCCAAATTTTAGTCATTTCTCAGGTTCTAGTCTACACTGTACTCTATAAAATCTCTTCAGCTCATGGTGGAGATAGTGGTGAGGGAAAGGGAGAGAGAGAGAGGAGGAAACAGGATCCTTAAAGCCAGCAGAGAGCATCTCGGACTGCTTCTCCCCCGTGGGTCTGCCCCCCAGACATCTAAAGGCCTAGGTGATGGCCATGCAAAAATCTGCCCTCTGGCAAGAGAAAGGCAAAATGCAGGTGCCTCTCAAAACTGAGTTGGTAAATTAGAAAAACTTACTGTTGTTTGTTGTTTTCTCTAGATGGAGGAAGAGGAATGTGAGCAGGTTCCCCAGGAGAATCCCCCAGAAGAACCACCCTGGGATCCCACCCAAGAGCTGTCAGGAGGTAAGAGCAGTGTCCTCACAGTGACCTTGAAAGGAGCAGATGGGACCCTGGACAGGCACAGCTCCCGGCTGCACCTCCACGGTGTGTGGGGGGACAGGTGAAGTCCTGTCACAGAGCCTCTCATGTTCCAGTCACCACCAGAGGAGGGCCAGTGGGCGAGGACCTTTCTTTACGCCAGCCAGAAATAAGGAATAATCACCCCGACATCAGTGGTGGGCCCAACGGGGCGAGGAATGGCAGCTATTCCTAAATTTCCATGGCAATTCCAAGGAAAAGGGTCTTCACCTTCTGAGCGTTCCTCCCCAGGAAGGATGTGATGGAAATGCCTGGCCTTGGACCCAGGCTAGGAAGTCAGCAGACCATGTGTGGGTATCTGGCTGACCTGGATGTAAAAGCTCTCAGGGTCACAGGGATTGAAGTACCAGGTGAAAAAGCAGAGTGTCCTCAGCCTTTCCAAGGACTTCTTGCAGCCCCCAGTCTCGTGCCTCAACCTTTTCATCTAACCCGGGGAGACAGAATTGCAAAATGCCTATGGAAGGACTCATTTGTGACTCACCATGTATTTTAACATGCATGAGTTTTTGCTTTATGACATTGAATGACTGACCTGAGCCACCAGGGAGGGGGAAAAACATGTTAACCAAGCACACAGGAAAACTTCCAATGCATGTGCTAACGCCTGACTTACTTTTTCTCATGGCTTCCACAACTAGACAGAACTTGCGCCTCCTCTCCAGAGCTCAAGGGAGGAGCCTGGCTTTAGTTAAAGAGCAGTGTTGTATGCAGGCTCCAGGTAGCTGGGATGGGGATATTTCTGTGTCCCCAGCTTTGCACTGGCTAGGGAAAAAAGGAGGAGAGTCTCACCTCCGGCTCTTCCCTATGACTCCACCCATTCATGCAAAGTCTTTCCAGCTGCCTGGGGGAAGCTGGAGGAGCCACTGTCACTCCATTGTCTTTGGGCCCTGCATCATCCGGCCATGGGTGACAGGAGGTTATGGCACAGTGTGTGGGGGCTAAGGTGGTTCAGGAGAAGAAGGTGCCCATCCTGAGACCTTCATGTCTTCCGTGGGAACTAGACTTGGAAACTAATCGTTACTGTCACTTTCCGTGAACTCTGGGTCCATTCCTGCCCCCTCCCCTGTCATTCTTAGAACCTTGGCAGGGGGCCTCTCGGCCCTGGTCTGCATCTCCAGGTTCTCTCCTCAGGAAGACCCTGACGCTCGGCTCTGGGAGGCTGCCCAGCCCAGCCCACCCCTACCGCGCATGTGAGGACGTGAGCCTGGCAGGCTCAGGTCCACGCAGGGCTCACGTCCTACCCGCCCAGCCTAGTTCACCTTGAGCAATGGCACCTTCCTGGGAGGATCTGGGGCGGTCCTAGGGTTGACGAGCTCCGGCCCCAGGACCCGATGCTCTGTTCATGCTTCCAGGTCTGAAGGAGAAGGAGCCGACCCCCCAGAAGCTGAGGCTGCTGCTGGTGGGGAAAACAGGAAGTGGGAAAAGCGCCACGGGGAACAGCATCCTGGGCAGGAACGCGTTTGAGTCCAGGCTCAGCTCCAGGCCTGTGACCCAGACGGTGCAGAGAGGCTGCGGGCTGTGGGCAGGGTGGGAGCTCGAGGTGCTGGACACCCCAGACATCCTGTGTGCTCAGGCCCCACCAGAAGGTGCCACTCAGGAGGTGTGTCGGGGCCCAGCCACCCCTGCCCC